GCCTGATAATGTTCTAATTGCCCTGCAGTTCTCGATTCGGAGCTGCAGTGCTGCCGAGCTGCAATTCTTGAGACGGACTGGTCTGGTTTTGGTCTGGTCTGCTTCGGTCTGGTCTGGGCTCCTACTGTTCGGCCATCCTTTTTCATCCTTGGCAGCAGCAAAATCAGCACCAGCAGTTGCAATCGAGTCGGCCGGTTGTCCTTTTGTGTGGACGGCACGCTGGGCATATCCCCCTTCCATATCTGCACATATATGCGTATATCTGGCGTATCTGGCTTGTCGGTAGGTGTTTTATTTGCCAAATGCATCCGACAACGCCCCGGGGGCTCAGTTACAGATACGGATACCACTGGAGGACCAGCGAGCACTTCATTAGTATCTGTATCCTTCGATTCCAAATCCAAATCCAAGTCATAGTTGAACTCAAGCCGATGCCGATGCGCAAAACGAAACTCAACCTGAAACTGAAACTGACGGCCTATCGCTAACCGCAGTTGGTCACTTTCTTGGAATTTTTTCGGTCAGTGTCGGTCCTTTTCAAATTGTCACCAAAACAGAAAAAATTGATTTGTCAACTATTTCACCTTACAAGAAAAAACACCTTTATAGGGTTTGAAACATTTTTGAGTACCTAAAATACAAATTTTTAAATTAAAATATTGTGATTAAACGAAATGTAATGAGTCTTTTATTTGAAGGCATCTTCAATTCCTTTTTAAAGGCAAAACTGTAACATTATTTGGCTATAAATAGAAATATATATTTCACAAATAATTAAAGATCACCGACTTATTCAATAATAATGTTTTATTACGGCAAAATGACAAAATTCTTTGGAAATTCAAACATATATTACTATATATATTATATTATATATATATTATTAAAACAAACTTTACATTTTGGTTATAAATTTAGCCAAAGTGAACCTAAACAAAGTCAACAATAAAACATTGAAAAACTGCATTTTAAAATTTTTTTTATTATATTAATAGGAAGATATATATCTTTAAAACATATATTATTTTATGAATACATTTTAGTGTCTGGAGTAATAAAGTAAATTCAGGTGGCTAGATTTCCTGGCTCATTCGACTCCTTTCCCATTATCTTATACGCTGTTAATTTAATCTATTTGCGCCCAGATGGAGACCCAATAAAACCGAATCGCCGGCAGTAAGGGAAAATTGAAACCCGTAACAGCCGCAATGGGATACTCCCAATTGGGTCGCAAAATCGGTGGAATGGGGCCTCGAATGTCCAACAAGATTTGATTTTTATCGCAAGTATATTTGAATTTTATTGCGTACGAAATTCGCGATACAATCGTCGGCCATAAAAGCGACTGGAGCCAAGTCCACGCCAAGTCCACCTAGCCATGGCCAAAATGGGAATGGCCAAAATGGGACAAAATGGGGCAAAACAGGGAGCCGGAGAGCAGTCACCATTTCTTGGCCACGTTGGCGTCATTTTCCACGCAATAAAATAAACATTCAAAACGAAATCAACTTAAACGCCTCACACTGACCCGGCCTTAACCCCTTGGGTCCAACTTCTCGTCCATTCCTCAATGTGGCACATTTAGTTTTATGCTTATTTTTATGTCACTCTCTGAAGTGATACACTGCCTATGGGGTGTTCTGTTTTCTTTCTTTTTTTTTTGTGTAAAAAAATAATTAACTAAATATAAAGTAAGCAATCAATTTATACTTTTTGTAGACCAGAGTTAAAAGACTTTATTGTTTATGAATGCAAAAATGTATTAAATAAACGAAGTAAGCAATCAATTTATACTTTTTGTAGACCAGAGTTAAAAGACTTTATTGTTTATGAATGCAAAAATTCCTAAATATAATATTATATTCTTAAGAAAATATCACAGTTTAACTTTATATTTATAATTTGGTATAGAGGTACTTACATATTTTTTTCTTAATCTCCAAGAAAAAGGGTATTTGTATTTTCGTGAATGTAACTAAATTTTGTTTTGTTTTCGCTGGTTGCTCCCTTTTCTGCCCCCTCCGCACGGGTCAAACTTTCAATGGCCAGTGGCCGCAAATCCCCGTCAGCTTGCAGCTAATAGTTTGGGTAAACAAAGGACTCCGGCCAAAAAAGGGTTGATTTAATAAGCTGGACCCCGATTCAATTCAATTCGATTCGATTTCTATTATCTGCTGTCCTGATGGGCACCCAAATCAAATGCGTATTTATCGGGGACTTAAATGCGCCAAGAAGTGGGGTGCTGGGAAATCGGAACACCCACGAGCTGCTGAATGGCCCAAAGTGCCCTGGCCACAATGGGCTCGGTTCGTATTTCGGTTGGTGTTTGGGTTTCGCTTTGCCGGACTGGGGGCTTTGTTGGCCATTTGATGGAAGCCAGAGGCCAGAAGTCAGAGCTCAGAAGCCAGAGGACAGAGAACAGAGGCTAGAAACAGCAGTAAGCAATCGTAAAACGTCTCGAAGGAGACAATGGGCTGTCCAGGAAGTGGAAACGACAATGCCGGGCTCTCCCTGTGCGGTGACATCATCGGCCAAATGCCAAACAACAATTACCCAGGGCTGATTGCTTCATTTTCGGTGGCCAACAGCTCCGGCGGATGAGTTATGGCCGAGTAGATGGCTCATCTCCAGTTCACAGTTCTCCAGTTCTCTATTTCTCTATTTCTCCATTTATCCATCTCCACTGCCAATCCCAGTCCACAATGGGATCTCAACAGTGTGTTTGAGGGATCCTCGGACGGATTTGATTTATACTGCGGATGCGTCTGGCATCGCCCAGCCGTTGGCCTCATAAATGTCCCAAAAGGACCTCCGCCAGCTGCCAGGATATACATAAATTCTAGGCCATTTTTAAGCCTTACGTTTTATTACTTATCATCCCATTTTAATTGAAACGAGATTTACACGCTTTCATTTTCCAATATTTTGTTATTTTTCATTAGAAACATTTGCACATTTGTCAATAAGCTTTGTTAGAAAATATCTTAGCGCTTTTATTCCTTAATCAATAAATTTCTGAAAACTAATAAATACACAGAAACAACTGAAATTCAAAGCTTTAGATTCAAAAACAGCATAAATAAATTTAATAATTAAATAAAAGAATAACCCAAAATCAATCACTTATCTTAGTACTCTATGCTCACACATGAATTATTAAATTATTACCTTGTTGCATTTAATTATAACAATAAACAATGTGTGTATTTAACATTCTTGTTTTCAATACATTTACATTAACTGCTGTGTATCAAAAATATATTTAAAATATTTATTAAATAAATATATTTTATTTGGAACAAATTTGTTGATAACTAACAACAAAACCTTGTTCTTACAAGTGACAATTATCAGCTTAATTTGCTCAATAAAAGAAAACAAGGTTTGTTGAGGGGAGTTTAAAAATTTTGGGCAAGGGGACTGCGTCATTTCCAAATTGGTCTGCGGTTCATGGCGTCGCCATGTTATGAAAACCCGGATTCCCGAATACCGAAAACCTTAGACCGAACAACAACAAATGACCTTTATGCGCTCACATAAAAGGGCGCAACATCAAAAAATCAAAAACGATAAAAACAGTCTCTCAACATTTTATTTTACCCTTCATGTGGAGCTGCAAATTGTCATTAGACATGCCGAATTTATGATTTTCGACTGTGATTTCTGTATGTTATTTTTTTTTGTTGCCATTTTTTTTTTGCACAATGTGACATTCGATTCGATCCACCACCACCCACCCACCGACGCCCGCTTAAGTATGCTACACACATTTTTTTTTGGTAACCCTTGCCATGGCCCAAAATCCCCTGCCGCCGATGTGGCACACAAACTCATAAATTGTATAAATTGTTGGGCTATTATTTCTCGTGGCTGTCAACGCAATATTGCAGGCAAATTGTCCTGGACACTGACGACAACATGTTGGCGGGGAAATGGTTGGAACAGGGGTTAAAGGTCGGGTTGGAACGCCGAGTACCTCAAAAATGTATTTGCGCGAATTTTTTATGAGCCCAGCAAGGAGTTGGAGGCCCTCTAAAATGGAGATTACGCTTAGTTTTAAGCTATTACAGATTATAAATATGTATTGTTGAGTGCAGAATGCAGAAAAAGGATTGCTAAGTTTCCTTTCAATAACCGAACGAAAAATAATTTTGTAACGTTCTATCTCTAAAAGATAAACTAAAATCTTAAGATGATAAATAAATTTTAACTAAATTAAATTAAAGTATTCGTCAAATTTGTATTAAATGGAGATTACACTAGAAATTAAGGCAGATGGATTATAATTTTAAAAATATTTCTTAGACTGAATATAAATTGAACATAAAAAGTAGCAAAAAGATTTTTCTAAAAGGTGTATTAATAAATGAATTTGATATTGATTTACAAATGCCCATTCTTTGCCTTCCCTAAGATCAATAATTTTTTTTGTAGCGATATGATCTATGTGCCTCTGTGACATTCCACACCCTTTTAATGACGTGGGTTTTTGGAATGACAAATTCAGTTGCAGTTGCAGCTCTTCTACCCCCTCCAAACATTTATGGATTTTTTACCCAACCATTTTTATGGCATTTTTACCCATTTTCCGCAATTGACTTTCCAGCCTTGACTTACGCCAAATGACATAATTAGCCAGGGGGCGGGGGGCGTGGCAGGTAGCAGTTTTTAGGGCTAGGGTTATATAGCACGTAACCCTAACCCTAACCCTGCGTCATAAAAGATGCAATTTCGCGCGAATTCTAACCCCAGCAAATCCTTTTTATTTTACCCCTGTCCTTTTTGTTTTTTTTTTTTTTGCTTATTCCACGGAAAATACCCATTTTTTCCTCCCTATTTTATGCTATTTTTTGTTTATTATTTGCGAAACGGTTAGAAAGTCAATTGTTTTATGAGATTTGGAAAAAAAAACAGCAGGCTGGGCATTCCAGTAGTAGGTGCTGCATTAAAAGTCAGCTGCCAGAGCATTTTGGGGTCTATAGGCATGGACCTGGCCCCAGATCCTCAGTCGTTGGCCGGACCCCGACCCTAAACAACAAACAACAATTTTTGGTCTCACAAGTTTCCGTTTTTAAACAAATAAAAATCAATTTTTCACACAAAAATTTTTAGTTGAAACCGACAAAGCAATAGTTAAATTTTACCGTGTCAATCTTAACAAAAAAAAAAAAAAAAGGGAATTCTGTAAAACAAGCTAAATAATAATAAAGACGACGAACCCATAACCCTTTCAAAAATGCAACGATCGATTTTCAAGAGTGGCGTTTCGAGGGCTCTGGTCCTTTTGAGCCCATTGAAGTCCCTTCACCAGAAGGTCTTCTCTGTGGATGAGGTCCTGGCGGCGGCTCCTAAGTTGAAGAGTCGTTGCCTGGATCTTCTGGAAAGACTGCTGCACGGTCGCCTGAATCTATTGGGCGGTCGTCCTGTTCCACCCAGATTCCTGCCCATGCTGGTTGGGGATCAGGATCGCAGCTTACATTTCAATGCCGAGGAGGACGAGGAGTTTCGCCAGCGTTTGGGAAGGCAGCTGAAGGAGCTACGCGAAGCCCTGCAGGAAACCCAGGAGAATCGAGAGGAGGATTTCCAGGACAAGGACGACGAGGAGCAACCCTACACGACGGCCACGGGATTGGAGGATCTGACCGATGAGGAGCTCGACGAAATGCGGACCGTGCGGATGAGTTCCGGCCAGGACTCGGAGGGAAAATCGGGGAACACCGAGCAGCCGGAAACAGCAGCTGAAATGGAGGCTGAGGAGACGACGGAGGGCAGGCAACCCGGTGCCCAGGAGTCCGAAGAAGTCATTGATGTCTACGACAGAGTGCGGGATGGCGAGATCGAGGGCGTCTACTGGACGGGCGAGGGCAAGAGGATTGTAACCCAGGCACCGCAGCGCAAGACGGGACACTCGGGCTTCATCGATGGCGAGGGCGAGGAGGTCCTCGTGGAAGAGTCATCCCCGGGCAAGGCGGCTCCCTATCACCCCCCTTCGCCCAGGGCCCAGGCCACTTCCAAGCTCCTTCGAAAAGGTCGCAAGCCGAGGACCTCGTCCAAGCCAGCCAGCAACAGCGATTCCGATGAATAACCAAATTGCCAGCAATTACAAAACCCTGTAAAATAAATACAAAAGGCTAAAGACAAGAAACTCTACGGTGTTTGTGTATGTTTCCCTTTCTCGGTAACCTTCTGAGGTTTCTGCGGGTTGCATTCGGTTAAGTCATCCGTAGGCAGGACTACCTGTGACCGCTTAGCAAATTTTATGCAATGCCCGGGAGTCAAGGACAATTTACCTGGGTGAAATTAACACACGCTTCCCACACGCGGCGGTCGCTCTCACTCTTTTTGCGTTTTCCAAAATCCTTTTTTACAGCCGCAGCCTTTTTGGTTTTCGAGGAAAACTTAGGAAAACTATGCAAAAAGATCATGGCTCTAAGATGAATATTTTACTTTGAGTTAAAAGCATTTAAAGGCGGCTAAAAGCGAGGACAAAACTAGTTATATTTTTCAAAGAGAATTTGATTAATGTCTTTTGATGAAATATCAGTAATTTTAAAAGAGTTTTTTAGGTTGACCTATTTTTGAATGGTATATAAATTAAAGAAGTTGTCCAAAAAATCATATCAAACTACATATATTTATTTTATTGTGCATCAATTTCGAATGCACATTGTAGTTCAATAAATAACTCTTTTGATGATTGAATTTACGTGGAAAACAAATCAATACAAAAATGTTAGAAAAAAATAAAAAAGAAAGTAGTTGAGAATTCTCCCCATTCTGTGGTAAAACTGTCTGTATCTGTACCTGCTCCTTCGATTCGACCCACGATGATAAATGACGTTTGCCAATCTATCTGACCCAATGCCGGAAATTAAATTTGTTTGAAAATTTGCCACTTTTCACCGTCTGTTCCTTGTTTGTTATTTGTTTCCCCCCTAAGATTCACGCCCCAAAAAAAATCACGGAAAAAGGTCTGTGGGAAATGGAATAAAAAAGGGGAGGAGACCGAGCAATAACTAATTGTGGAGAAATCTTACAGCATACAAACTGGACCTTAGGGAAATGGACAACAAAATAACCTCACAGGTTCCCATGCGTTAAGAAAAATACATTTCATTTGTAAGGACATCAGAAAATCATTATAAATAGAAAAATACTACTAGAATATTTACGATTTATATATAAAAGCCAACAGTGTAGAAATAAACAAAACAATATTTAACATGTTACAAGATCTGTGATATAAAATTTGAAATAAAATAATAATTGCTTACATATTAGTATTAAAATTGCATATGAAAACAGAATGTATAAATTGGTTTCCAGGGCTTAAATAACCTCTGGTGGTCAATTAAGTTATTAATATTGCTTTGAATTCTCGAATCTCGTCAACCGGTTATGAGATAAAGACTTTTTAAAAACGACCACCTATTGAGCAGCCGAACCTGCGACAGTTTATTGAAACATTTTTCAGCATTTCTTACACAAATCCGTGGTCAGGACAAAGCGCGAGTTTTGGGAGCTGGAAAAAAATAAAAGTGTGGATCCCTGAATCCTCATAAATCATGTCACATATCTGTGTACCGACTGCGGTCGTCGACGGTGCCAGTTCGTCTGCCGAGAGCCCTGAAAGTGAAATCCAAACTATTATCGGGGATTTTTCACTCTCGCCTTTGTGCGGTTTGCTGGGGTTTTGGTTTTCTAAAAAGAAAAAAATCAAATAAAAAAAAACGCGGGGACAAATGAAAACATCAAATCATTCATAACACTTGTTTGGCTGGCATTGATTGAGCCAACAACACACACCCCATGATCCTGACCATTTCCTCTGCATTGTCCTAAGCGATTTCTCAGTTCTCAGTTCTCGTTTCTCAGTTCTCGATTCTCATTTCTCGTTTCTCGGTTTTTATTTCTCGTTTCTCAGTTGCCAGTTCCCAACCTGTTCACTTTCATTGATGGCCAGATCCTTATTGTTTACGGAAAACATTTTGAGTTCAACTGAATCGCTCATTGTTTGATTGGAATTGATTAATGTGCCCCTGGTTCTGAGTTCTATTCATCGTTTAGCGTTTCCCTTTTTAGTTTATTTTTCTTTTTTTTTTTTTTTTTTGAAATAGTCGGGGGTGTACTGGCGTGGAGCGGGACCTGTACAGGTTGGCCTGGGTTAATGAGGCCATCAATAAGTCAATTAGTTGACTGCAGCACGGATTAGGGTTGATCCTGTTTTTGTTCCGAGACCTCAACTCGTTTCTGACTTGGTCAATTGAGTTGTCTGCTACTTTTCTTAATTTTAATAGAGCAATTAGGATTAAGTTGAGTATTTAAGGTAACAAAGTAGGTGCTTATTACCAAAATGCAGCTGCCAAAGCATTGATAGTACTACGTTTCTAAACAAATAATATTATAGAATGTTCTTAAGACTTCCATAATACTATTTTTATATACTTTTTTCCTTTTATATTTTTTAAATATATTAAGCAACTTAAATATAAATATAATATTAATTATAAAACAAATTTTAAAATTAACAGCTGGAAAATATTTCCCATCTTAATTTTGTATAAACATATATCATATCATATAGCAAAACAGAAATAAATGTGTGATATTCTTACTTTCTTAAATATATAAATTGACCCAATGCCAATCGACAGCTTGACCTTTGATCCCTCTGAACCCCTGACATTACAATTTTCGATTGCGAAAGTCTTCTGATTTTTTGGGCAATTAAAATTTCACGCTATGGCAACGCAACGCAAGGCAAAAGATACAAATGTATCATTGACCGAAAAGAGATACATTGTGCGTGTGACACAGGTGGCCTACGGTGGTTCGGTGGTTCGGTGGTTTTTGGTGGTACTGGTGGTGGTTTCCCCCTCTGCACTTGTTTTGGAAAATTCGCAACGCCCGGGTTATAAATGATATCTCAGCAAATAGCTGCCCCCACCAGAGTTTCCACCCTTCGATTCGTTCTTTTCGCTTTTTTTCGGTTTGGTGATAACGTGAAATAATTGCGTGACAACCATGTTGCGATAATTTTCAATTAAACTGCGTTTTCCCTTCTTTTTTTCTTTCGGTGAGCATAAAAAAGAGAGAGAGGTAGCGTGAAATTTCATATTAAAATCAACTGATTTTCTGCTTTCATTTATTCATGCTGTTCGTTGTTCTCCGTTCTTGTTGTCATACACTGAGCTAAAAACTGCTTCTGTTTTCCATATTAACACTAGGTTTCTTCTAAAATTTAAGGAAACAGTGGGCAACAAATTCTTAAATGTGAGATGAGTTACTTTTTATTAATTTACCATATATTCATTAATATTTTCTTATTTTTAAGCACCAAACAAAACTTCTAATGCTTTCAAACATTTATATTAAGAAATGTCTCCTATTTTTTTGAATGCCATTAATAATTTTTTAGTGGGCTAATAAACTTAGGAAACAATAAAAAAAACTTTACTTATGTGGCTAGTAGCTTACATTTTGCGTTTTGTGTTTTATGCGTTTGTTTTTATCGTTTAAATATTTTTTCATATTTTTTATGATTTTCTAATGCTAGAAATAGTTTTTTGTTTTTAAAGGTTAATAAATCACTAAATTTTTTGTTAGTTGGTGTATTAAAATTGTATTGTATTTGATTTTAATATGTATAACTTTTATACTTTTGCAGAACCACTTAACCCACTGTTGACCCACTGTGCCTCAAGGGAAGTGTCACACTTGTGCGTCATTAACGCCGTCGGGTCACAGCTGGTGGTTGGGTGGTTGCTGGGCGGTTGGGTGGCGGGTGGAACGGCCTTGTGGGCTGGGTGGTTGGGGAGCTCTTCTTTCTGACTGTTTGACTGGGTGGCTGTTTTCGGGATCCGGAATCTATTCGGTTGGGTGGGTATCCCTTTTGGCCCTTTTTCTTTTTGCCTTTTCGGGGATGGCCTGCAGACTCGCCTGCGCCACTGTGGTTGCCAACGACATCGGCCAACCATTTTTCTGCGGTGCAGGACGCGTTGTTAATTTGATTTGTGCGCTTTGCAATTTAACAATAATATTGTCATCAGGTTTCGCTGGTCTGGGTGGTGCCCAAAAAGTATGGCCATAGTGAAAGTGGGTGCTTCGTGGCCGGGGGCGTAACCAATGCCCATTTAATTATATCACACTGCGCAGCTCTTTGATGGTATCCAAGAATGTGAGGGCTACCATCTTGTTTACTTCCATTCGACGGGCGTGTTTTACTAATTTTATGGGATGATTTTCCAGGGTTTTTCTTACTCTGGATCGAATGTGTTTTAGTTTGTCGCTGCATTTAAAGAACAACTTCCCAATTTTATAATTTGGATATTATATTATGAATTAAAAAAAAATATTTTGCTGACTTGTGATGCCATTAAATAAAACAATCAATAAATTCATTAAAACAAGTAGCCGTAAGTAATAATTAGCATTATCCATAAAGTGTTGATAATTTAAGATTTATTATATTATATAAACTTAACTAATTTATAACCATTATCATACATATTTTATTTATATATTGTTTATATACCACATCTAAATTGTAATAACAAAAGAAATTGCTCATTTTAATTTTAAAATAAAGGCCATTGACATTACTGAAAATATTATTCATAATAACATGTTCCTCAAAATGCCTTAATACTTATAATTAACGTTGATTAATATACTTTCTACTGTTCGGAATATTGCGTTTTAAGTTGACTCTTCCTTGTTCCCCCGCCACTTCGCTTTGTTCATTTTTCCGCACTTCAAAGACATGCTTTTCCTTTCCCCCACTTGTGTTCTTCCTTATCAAAATCAAATCTTTCGCGATCTGAACTTCACTTAACTTAACCCCCCCCCCCCACTCACCCCACACAGCAATCACTTTAATATTACGTAGGCTTAACCCTGACGCAGGCCGCAATAACCGCATGTGCACCACCCAAAAGCAACCACCCACATGTGGATGGGTTATTGGGTTAATCAGCACGCACGGGGATTTCCAAGGCGGCGGAGCTTTCCGATGCCCGATTTTCGAGGGCATTGCAAAAGGACATGATTTTGAACTTAAGGGCAAACACTTTTCGGGCATCGCGTGCGAATCGCGTCATATGGATAAATGAGTCCGGGAATAAAAGGACCAAATACCGAAAACCC